CTTAGAGCTTACAGGAAACTTTGAGAATGGAATATTTGAGCAGAGGACAGCTTTCTTGCTGCAGGCCTGACAGGCAAAGCTACTCAATACTGGAGACAACTCAATTTTTCCAAAACAGAGATCAGCAGAGGTTACTGGTCTTGTTAAGTATCACCTCAACCTTGCAGTGGTCATCCGCCCGGAATCCCTTGATGAGAGGAAAAACAAAGGCATTCAGAGTAAGGAAATGCAAATCAACCAAACATTTATATAATGAAACCCCCATAAAAATCCATCCATCCATTATCTGATATGCTTGTCCCAATTGGGGTTGCAAGGGTTGCTGGTGCCTATATCCAGCTGTCAATGGGCGAGAGGCGGGGTACACCCTGGACAGGTCGCCGGTCCATCGCAGATGCACTCTATTTGTGCAAAGGTTTGTGATTCTGGACACTGTCAAGCTCCTTATCTATTCCTAACAAGGAATGGTTCAAAGAAATGCTTCCTTCCTCCCTTACACTCAGAGTTATTTGTGATTCAACAACCTGACCAATTGCTGCACTGCGAAAAGAACACAATGCTGTTTCACAAATAAACTTACTTCCTTCCTAAACACAGCTACAATGATAAGTCCTAAATTCAGTTACTAAAGTTAGAGAGTTCCTATCAGTTACAATCATATTGTATTATAAAAGCATATATAGTTTAATAAAACATTTACTGTTTCTCGACTGACAAGAATGTGAGTATGGAGCAACAAACATATGAGCTGAACTTTCAGCCAGTTCTCTCTGCAGGTGGAAAAAAAAAAACTAAATACTGTAGAGACCAGAAGCATAGCATGCTCCAAAGAAATGGATCTTCACGCCCTCAAAACCCCGCCCCCTTTGCATCCAGAAATTCAAAACACATCTCTGCGTTGTGATTGGCCCACCAGTTCTAGGGCCTGGGGCATTGATCGAGGCTAGACCAAACTGGCAGGCAAAACTGATTTTGGCCGCTGGCGGGTGGGGCTAGTTCACTAGGCTATAATTCATAAAAAAATTGTATTAATATTTTGTCATATGTACATTCAGTGGTTCAATTTGATATAATATAAGGGAATGTACAGAAAATCATACTACCATTTTCATATACATTATATAATATTATAGCATATTTTATCTCTCACTATATTTTGTCATTTACTGTACATACTGTCATAATTCTGCCCATTCTGAACTTTTTGATTCATTTTTTATGTTCTTTTTGAGTTTTCAGTTTCACTTTGATTTATGTCATTCCCTGTTTTAGGGCATTGCTTTCATTTCAAGCTTTTTTTCTGGTTGTATTTTAGTACATGTTGTTTAATCTCTGTTGCACCCTTGTGGCAGTCTTCTTTCCCTTGGCTCCCTTCTAGATCCTTCTGCACACGCCTTCTCCCAATCAGTTAATTACTCCATTCTTTGTTCTGTTTGTTATATATACTTATAGGCGTAACTTTCTGAAGGACTGGTGTGGACATGTCCCCACCAATAATGTGCACTTCTGTTTCCCTTTCCATTCATTTCATTTAGCCAACAGAAACTCTGGATGGGCGCAGTTGTCTGTCTGTGTTCAGAGTGTTTTTTTCTCTCTCTCTGGATGCTACCTAGTCCCACCTACCGGTGTAACATTACACCATATATCATCACTAGATCTGTCCGGAGCCCTGTAGATAAGACTCCTATATGATTGGTGGTGGCTATTCACTGTTTACGTTGTAGTGATCAGAGGAGAGACAACAAACTGCAGCAGTAAATTTATTTTGAACTAAGAGTTAAGAGACAGGTTGGTTTAAAAAAATTTTATAAGAAAAAAAAAGATGCCACAAAAAAAGCTTAAAAAAAATCAACAATAGAGTGTTTATCTTACGTAAGTTAGTCATTTAAGGTGATAAATTTTACACAACATACAGTTTAAATGTTTTTTCCTTAAAAAAAAAGCAATTAATCTCAGCTCCTCAGAGGACGTTGACTCACAGTTACAGATAAAAACTAAGTCATATTTATTGTTTTCTTATTTAACAGAAATTTACCAGACTGCAACAGTTCTAGAGATCCCAAATTGCCGAGATTTTGAAGTCACGCAGAGGTGACTTGAATATTAGTTTCTCTAGCATTCTAGATGTCTCTTATTCGACATCTTAATGCTATGTGTTAAAAAAAATAAAACAGATTTACTGGGATATGAGACATGAAATAAAATCTCATGTCAAACATTTTACGAGAAAAACATGTTATCTTATATTTAAAATGCAGTTTTGTCTTTTGTAAATCAGCAAGACAGCTGTACTAAGCTGCAGAACCAGATGCACAGTCAAGAGAGACTTCAATATTTAATTTAGGAAACCTACAAATTCAAATCACAAACAATACTGTAAAAATCAGTGAATCAATGATTTGAAACCTTCAATATTCAGTCTTTGTCAAAGATATATGTGGGAAGAAACTCTAAATTATATTTTCCTGCTTGTGAAGGGGGGAATCAGTGTTATCAATGATACAGATGAAATGGAAGCCATCTAGCTTAAGTACCTTTTAGTTTTTCATATTGTTCTTAATACCGTGATGGATGGATGGATGGATGGATGGATGGATGGATGGATGGATGGATGGATGGATGGATGGATGGATGGATGGATGGATGGATGGATGGATGGATGGATGGACGGATGGATGGATGGATGGATGGATGGATGGATGGATCCTATTTAAAATTGTATATATACAGTGATGTCCAATGTATAGCAGTTGAAATCAGTATTAGTTGTTACTATTTGTTTTTTTTAATACAAATATAATTTTTTTATTAATGTTCTTGATGATTTAGAGATCTTTATAAATGAGACACTAAAAGGTATCTGTATATCTATCTGTAATTATAAATATTAGTTTATTTTGCAACTGTTGCATTCTCAACAATAGGAACGCATTAAATAGACACAAATGGCATTGCCATTTATGTTTGTGCTCATTTCTAGAGAAAATATCATAACCTAACGGAAGCCGTCGGGTCCTGCAGCTCCCACCCTTGTAGAGTATCCCCACCAACTTTAATAACAAAGTTACACCCTTGTATATACCCCTCCTCTGCAGTTACTGTTTGCTGGATTTTCTTCCTTCCCTCCTTAACCTATGTGTTCCCCCTTGTTCTGGTTCCTGTCTTTCCTTAATTTGTTATTTCTGGATTTATGCTTCCGTTGCCAGCGCTAGTTATTAAATCTGCAAGAAACCACCTCAGCTTCTGTCTCTGCATTTGGGTCCTCTACAGACCTCCACACAACCTGACACATAGAAATAATTTGTCTACCACAGAACATTCTCATCTCTTATACATTTATTCTTCCACATAAAGGTATACATTCCACTCACACAACTACATTCTTCTCTGACAGGCATATATTATACCCTAACATGCATACATTATACCCTCTGAATGACAGTTTTAGAACTAATGCAACCCGATTCTGCAAATACCTTTGTTCACCAGGCGCTCAAAGATACTTTTTTGGACAATGTTTATATTTTATCTGGTTTTCTGTCCCAATCAGTAATCATACAGGATTAAATGCTGAGGGGAAAGAAGAAAATATATATTTCAAATATAAAAAGAAAATCCATCAGTAAAATAATTTATCTTTGTGTTCTTCCTAAATTTTTTTTCAGTGAACAGCTAAACAACGCATGAATATATTGAAGAACACACCCTTTTCTGCGTGAAATTGCAACAAAAAAAAACGCTTTGGTCCCCAGATCCTGCCTTGGCGCATCAGGTCCCCATCAGCAGCAGTTTGCTGTTACCATGGCTTTAATGCCACACAAACATCATTTGAGACAGAGACAACGAACAAAACAAATGAACATCAAAATGTGTAAATCAGCAGCAGTACGGAAAATGGTCCATTGCTGAGGAATGAAGCCCCCAAAAAGCAGGTCTAGTTTTCAAAACTGAACAGAAAGAAAGCAGAAGACGAGAGACAGAGAAAGACATTCAATAGATGACCCAGTTTTTTAAGAAAGATTGGTTACCTGAGTAGTTTTAATTAGCAGAAGATTATTGACTTGTTGAGTAAAATAAGCTAGCCTTCTGCTGGCTACAACCTTCTTAATTCATAATACGGTGAATTATGCTCCATATAATTCAGTCTCAATGTGCCATGCTAGGCAAAGTGCAAATATCTTGGAATTACAAAATTAGGCAGAGAGAACTCCTGGGTCAGGCTAATGTGTTAAAAATATGATAATCATATGTCAACCCTTTAGCAATGATTATTTCTTTTTTTTATTTTAGTTTAAATTTAAAATAATAGATAATGTGTTGTTATCCGTGTTATCTGACTGAATATACATGGAGCCATTGAGTTTAGTACATGTAGTATTTATTTTCCATATTTAAGTACATTTTCCTTTGATAACATACTTCTTTATAATGCATTTGATTTTACTATTTCACATCATATAATGGATTAAGTCTAATTTTATGTTTTGTTTCTATTTACTTAAATTGTGGTAGAGGTACATTTCTTGTGCTTTTTTGTGATTTTAAAAATACCTTTCCACCACCAGACTGATGATGGAAAACATGTTATTGATTTCTGCCAGGTAAAAGGGATAGACAGTGACACTGTTATTCCCTTTTCAGACTGCATCCCTATCTCAACCCTGCAGGCATTTCTTATTCCAGGTCGGGCAGATTATATGAGATGATGCAACTTGGCGTTGGCAGGGCTTTTTTTTTTTTTACACATGAATAACAAAGATGTGTTGTTTCCAATGCTGGGAGCATGCTTCAGAGGCTAAATCATTTATATTTGGAGGAGTTCTTACTAGTAGGTAGGTCAACATCTTTTGGTATGGTTAAGAAAAGAGAAGAGATAAGGGGTTAGTGTATATGGGGGTGCATATCTGTATGACGCTCCAGTGGGCTGATTTTCTGTGCATGAAATGACTTGACATCCACTCGACCACCGAATGAGAGGCAGCGTGCGTGTTCTTTTCCTGAGAGGGAGAGTGGGAAAGAGAGTGAGAGAGGGAGAGAGAGAGAGAGAGGGAGAGGGAGAGAGAGAGACAGAGAGAGAGAAAGCGCGGAAGAGAGCAGCAACTTAGTTACTGAGTGTCGCTGCTGTGTCTCCTTCGACACAGCGGTTTGAAAGAAAAGCATCTGGCATTATGGTTGATCAGTGCTTCTTTCATCCTCTCCCATGCTTTAGTGACGACTGCATCTACATCCCTATTTCTGTTTCATTTCGAAGGATTAAAAATAAAAAAGCTGTTCAGAGGCACCAAGGAGAGACTCTACATCTTCGATGTGCATGAGGTACGTATTTTAAGCTGGAGTTGAAAAGACAATGATGCTGGATGTTCCCACTGAATGTAGGATGCTGAGTTGATGTTAACATTCTGCAATTAGCTTTTGTTTAACTGCATCTTAGTGTCTAAGCAAGCAAATACAATATGGCTTCTCCACACATACATTTGTTTTGTTATTAAGAGGTGCTCTGACTTCGCTTTTTTGTCCTTTGCACTGCTTGAAAAAGTTGCTTTCAGTTCAAACATAAGTTACCTCTTTATAGGAGCAAATCTTGACTCACGAGCTTTCTAATGTAAGGGTTGCTGCCACATTTGCATTACAGTGTATATTTTTTTTTCTTTTTTTATTCTAGATGACAGTGAGGATACCTTAGAGGGACTGCAAGCCTGGCCACGATTTGCAGGAAAATGCAGCTTTGGATTTCATATGTTTTGCTCGGTGCAACTTCAGTGGGCATTGTTGAGATGTCTGACCATTATGGGGAAATCTGTCAAGAGCTGTGTGCCTGTGAGGAAAGAGAAGGGATGCTTACAGCAAGCTGTGAAAGCAGAGGAATTGCAAGACTTTCAAATATAAGCCCACTACCCTTCTCTCATTATCAACTGCTCCTTACTGGGAATCTTCTAACAAAACTTTTAACTAATGATTTTGCTGACTACACAGGTCTAACAATATTACATCTTGGAAATAATAAAATATCAGAAATTAAAGCAGGGGCTTTTAATGGACTGAGGGGATTAAAACGATTACATCTCAACAATAACAAAATTGATGCCTTGAAGGAAGAATTTTTCTATGGCCTTGAAAGTCTAGAATATTTACAGCTTGATTATAATTACATCACCCATGTGGAGCAAAATGCCTTCAACAGACTTCAACATCTGGAGGTCTTGATTCTGAATGACAATTTGATATCTAGTCTGCCTGTAAACATATTTCAATTTGTACCATTAACTCATTTAGACCTGAGAGGGAATCAGCTCAAAGTGCTGCCCTATACGGGTCTACTGGAGCACATGAACAGCGTTGTGGAGTTACAGCTGGAAGAAAATCCATGGAACTGCTCTTGTGAGTTAATCGCTCTTAAGACCTGGCTGGAAAGCATTTCATACACAGCTTTAATTGGGGATGTGGTTTGTGAGTTCCCCTTTCGGCTTCATGGTAGAGACCTTGATGAAGTTTCAAAACAAGAGCTATGCCCGAGGAGAGCCATTGCTGAGTATGAGATGCCGCCACCTCCGCATTTGGGAGTAGATTCAAACTACAGGACGACCCCAGCTCTTGGTGCCTACTTCACTGCATCTGGCATTGCAAGATCCTCATCAAGACCAACCAAGGGACCTCGTCAGTCTGCCAAATTAAAATCAAAACCCACCGCTCGAGTCCCATCAAATAAGCCACAGAATTATGGTCAAATTGTTTCTTATCAAACCAAATCTCCAGTGCCTTTAGACTGTCCAGCTGCCTGCACCTGCAATCTCCAGATATCAGATCTTGGGCTGAATGTGAACTGCCAGGAGAGAAAGATTGAACAGATCTCTGATCTTAGTCCCAAACCATACAACCCCAAAAAGATGTATCTCACAGGAAATTATATCCCAGTGGTGCATCGGTCAGATTTTACTGAGGCAACCGGATTAGATCTGCTTCATCTCGGTAACAATAGGATAGCTCGGGTAGATGATAGAGCTTTTGGTGATTTGACATATCTGAGACGACTATACCTTAATGGGAATTTGATTGACCATCTTAGAGCTGATATGTTTTATGGACTAGAGAGCCTACAGTTCTTATATTTAGAATACAATGTCATTAAAGAAGTAAATGCTGACACTTTTCAGCATATGCCAAAACTTCAGCTTCTTTTTTTAAACAATAATCTCCTAAAAACATTGCCAGAGGGTACCTTTAACGGCTTGACATTAGCAAGACTAAATCTCCGTAACAACCACTTGCGTTATCTTCCAGTCAGGGGTGTACTTGATCAACTCACAGCTCTTGTTCAAGTTGATTTGTATGAAAATCCCTGGGACTGCTCTTGCAGTATACTTGACTTGAAGATGTGGTTGGAGCAGCTCAGCATAGGGACAGTTTTAAATAACGTTATCTGTGGCTCCCCCAAGAAGTTGGCTGGAGAAGATATGAGATACATTAAGACAACTAATTTCTGCCCTAATAATTCTGATATACTTGCTTCTATGATTCCTCCCTCAGAGGAATCATTTCCAGGGAGCACTATCACTATAGAAACATCCTTAGACTCCAACACTCAGTTCAGCACCATCCCTTTGTCTGTAATGATTCTTGCCCTTCTTCTATTATTTATTGTGTCTGTGTTTGTGGCAGCAGGACTGTTTAAGGCTACAAAAAAAAGACACCAGAAGAATCAAAATGAGCAGAATGAATCAATGAATGCCTGCATTAGCTCCCTCAACATGGAGTATGGCCTTTACAAAAAGGGATCTATTCCTAAAATAAGAACATCAGCTGGTCATGTCTATGAGTATATCCCACCTCCCACAGAAGCCACATGCAGAACTGCTGCACAAACCCCTATGGACAACAAATCAGTAGATGGATTTAAGGACTTTGACGAGTTAAGCAGCGCCTTTCTGGGTAACTTAGATGAAGAGGCAGGCAGTACTGTAATAAGCTCTGAGTACAGCGCCACGACTCCAGAGCCTCTCAAGAAGCCCTCCACCCCTTACCAAGACGATGTATGCTACTATAGAGATGTACCCGAGCCTGACAAGAACCAACGCTATAACAATGCTTTACTTTGCAGGCATGGAGCACACTCATCAAATCAGTATACATCAGACTTTGATGCAAGAAACCAATATGTGCACCCAGAGAGCATACAACAGACAATACTGTATTGCACAGCACCAAGCTCTGTTTATGTAGAACCCAACAGAAGCGAGTACTGGGAACTGAAAGCAAAGCTTCATCTTGATCCAGATTACCTTGAGGTTCTCGAAAAACGAACTACATTCACACAGTTTTGAGACATTGGTCCTCCACATGTTCAGTTGCCACATTTGTGTGATATACTAAGTGAAATTAAAAAAGACTATTTTGTAAACTCAGAAACTACTTTGCAAAGACATTTATTGTGTTTCCGAGAAATATGCTTTATGAAGCGAGTGATGCAAGGAGAACATAATTAATTTTGAAGCATCACTTAACACTCCATTCCTGTGTGGTTTTGCAGTTTGGTTTGAGTGTGCAAATACAAGCATGAAACTATATATTCAGAGCTCTTATGACTTACCCTACCACAGATTTTACCCTGCAACAGTATCATTAATAATGATTTAGGAATCAGCTTTAAATCTCAAATTGGCTGCAGTTTATGAGTCGTAATAAACCACGCAGACAATATGTTCCTGACCCCCAAATAACTTTATATTATTTGGCAGAACAGGTTTTCTTTAAAAGGCAGCCCATTCTACGTGTTTTCCTGCTTCTTGATATGAGAAGCATGCATTCAAGTCTAGCTTTCATTCAATCTATTTGTAACATGATTAATTATTAATGGATATCTGCATTTGCTTTGTTTCTTTAACCAAAAGCATGAGTTATGAGTGCAGTGAAAGTCTCCATTCTAATAGAAACATGGGAGAATGTAAATTATGATATATATAATGATAATATTACACTAGCCTTATTTGTAGAGTGGGACTATTGTGCAAACACACAGCAGACAAGTTAAAACATTAATGTCATGATTAGAATAAAGTTGGAAGAAAGTAAGAAAAGCTACCTTTTGGTTAACATCTTTTCAAGCATTACATTTTACATTACAAAAAAAAAAAACCTGAACACAGCTGATATACGTATGCACACTTATCTTTGCTTAGAGTCTGGTCTAACTGACTTGGTGGTTCATTCCTTTTTATCAGAGTATTTTTGTAAAGGAAATATCTTATTGTTTTGTTGTTGTTTTTTACTTGCTGCTGTAGTTGGTAAATGCAATTTATTGTTCCTTTTTTATCTTTCTTCTTTCTATGATTTAAACATTTTTGCCACTGCACTATTTAAATGTTGCTTTGTTTTACAGTTTATACATTACGTAATAACAGCATTTACTTTTACTTTTAAGGTTTTTAATTTCTTTCTTTTTTTGTTTTCAATTTTGTTTTGCAGAGTTCAAATCATTTATCTGGAGTGTGTTTTCCATTTGTGGTGATTTGGGCTGTTTGCTGCTTGTTTACACCTGCCGGTATTAACCCCCTCTGTGACAACTTCTCATGTGTCAATCAGCAAATCTTTAAGATTAGGTTGATATTTTTTGCCTTTAAAAAAAAGTAACGAAAGAAAATTAGCAGTTCAATATGTGTTTCTTTTGGCTTTTGCCTATTTACACATTGATGTATATCCATTTTTTTTTTACATTTTGTGATTTCAACAACAAACCAATAACTGGACATTTGAAAACAGTAACATGCAAAGAAAAACCTTTTTATTATTTCATACACACTCCTGTATTTGGTTTGTATATGTGCAGTGGTTACATACAGTGGTTTCCAAACTTTTCTTGCTGGACCCACCTTTTGGTACACAAAAAATATTCACAGTTGAACAAAGAAAAGCAAACTAAAGTAAGTTAAATAATGTAATTCAATAAACTGTAATCTCCTTCAAATTAGAAAATGACCACCTTTAAAGTATAATCATTTCAATTTTAACTATGTATTTTAGTGTGTAACATTGCAATACATCTTAAAAAGAACATCTCTCAAGATGGGTCATTAATTTAATTAGGCCCTCCTTTGAAACTACACTGGGCCCACCCAAGGGAACCCCTCACCCACCCTCCCCCTCCTCTTATGGAACTACTGGCTCAGTCAGACCATGGCCGTATAAATAGAAATAATTGCAGCTATAGTGTTTTGTTGGAATCATTTTTTAAAAAGAATCGCAACAACCTAATTGTTAAGTAAATACCCCTTAATTTTAATCAAATTGTATTTCCAGTAATTTATTTTCTATAATTCTACGTATAAATTTGACCTTTGTACCAAGAATCTTAAGAGGAGATTTAAAACTATTTGGTATTATGTGAATACATAGAATGGAATTCAATTGTGCGTATGTTCATAAGAAAAAGCTAATACAATTTTTTTTACCAAGTTTGGTTCTAAAAATGTTTTTTAAGCGCAAAAAACATTCTGTGTTTCTGGACTGCCATCTCTCTTGCAGAACTGATATTTTAAGCTTCGCGTGTGGTTTTTGCTACTCATATTCAAACCTGGTGCATAAATAATGCACTTTGCAGAACCTTTAATTTCCTAAAAAGACTCTATTGTTAGTATGGATCATTTATAATTTACTCACTTATTAGAACATAATTTAAGGTTATCTCTGCTGCAATCAGCTGATTAAACACCACTGTCCTTTCTATGATAGAGTATAATTTGCTCATCTAAATTAAGCCTAAATATGCACTGAAAAAGTGCTTTATGGTTTAGCAGCTCTATTTCATGCTTAGTCACAATCAGCAGACTGAAATCTTATTATATGGTCAATACTAAATGTGTAACCCAACTATGTATTGTTAGTACTTGATTTTTTGTTAATTAGTCTATTAAGATTTAATTAATACCACAAACCTCATATATGAGCCCCTTCTTCAATTTTACTCATTTACTCTCTCTTTTTCTAAAATATAGCATTCTAAAAGATTATATTTGTTGCTTTAACTGTTCTCTCGCAGTAAAAAACTCACATATTTAAATGTCTGCCAGGATTTTTCTCTGGAGTTGACAGGTTCTACCTGTGCATGAGTAGATGCTCTCTTCCTAAAACCAAAAGTGCACAAATGAGAACAATTGACTACTTAAAACTGCTCTCTCTATACATGTGTGTTCATGGTTGTGTGCTCTCATTGATTGATTGATTTGTGACCTGCCCAGGTCAAAAATCACAGGTTGTGATTTGTGACCTGCACAGGTTGTACCCTGACTACTGCCTGTGCCCCTGCAAGGCATAAGAGGATGCAGAATATTGATGCATCAATGTACATGTGTAATTGTTATATAAGTTATTTCTTTTGCAAAACCAGACACTGGTATGTTGGTTGGAATTGGGTCTATTTTATGCTGTTTCAATATTCATTCTATTCAGGCCTCTGGCCCAGGTGAACATATGTTGTATACCTATTTTTATATTAGCAAAGTATGAACGTTTAGATTCTTCTTTTATATCTGTTATTTGTTTTGTTTTTTTCTTTATTAACAGGATTTAAGAAAATGCACTTATGATTCTGCTGATCAAAGATGATGTCACTTTTGTAAATGCACAATACAGTATCGTGTTTATAGCCATAGATTTGGTCTGATAAATGCATAAAGAAGGGTTATGTATTATTACAAAAGCTTATACTATGCATAGATATAGATCACACTCAGACAATCTGCTTTACTCTCAGTTACAATTCCGCCTGTTTGGCTGAGAGGATCTCTCTCAAATTATAGCAAATTTACTATTAATTCAGAAAGTAACCTCTCTATTGTGAGAGATATAAACCATGTATAAACATCAGCTAATAGCAGTTAAAAAAAAGAAAAAGATAGAAAAACTCCATGTTAATACAATAAAGTCACCTCTATGCAAAAGGCTTCAAAGGAAACTGAGCACATTGTTCAGTCATAATCTATCTTTATCATCTGGGGAACTAGGGTGAGCCGGGAAATATGACTTTCCCTGAGAGTTAAATATACTGTAAAGTTAGTTTTCAAATGCACTCAACATGTTGTCATAACTCAGCCAAACAAAGGAGAGGTTCTATCTATCCTATCTGCATGACAAGTTTTACTTTGCAGCATGACGCTAAGCAATGAGAAATAATTAATTTGTTGCCTTTATCACATCTCATAGAATTTCTTATGTAGGGTTAAAACAACTGTGCTAAAATATCCAAAGTTAATACATAACATGTACCCCATCTGACCCATTTTTTAATTTCCTCTAAGAACACCTCTATAATACTATAAAAGTGGAAAAACACAGTATACTAGTAGAAATACAACATTCTTGTTGTAGAGAGTTACTAGGTTTTGGTTGATTGTATAATTTCTCACTGTGTGCTATAACCTACACATTTTAAAGCAGCAAAAAGCAAAAAATGTACATCTCAAAGTTTTGCTTCCTATAGCGCCTTTTAAATTTTAAAAGAGGGATGTCCTGATCCGATCCCAGGTAACGTTTCTGTATCCTGATTAGAAGCTTTTAAGGTTTTTTGTTTTCATTGCCAGAATTGAATTTTGGGACTAAATTGAATTGCTGATACCTGTTGGTGTTATGCTGTGATTTTCTGAGCCTCACTGCCATCCTGTAGTGCAGTTCCAATGCAGTCCCTATTTTCAAAATCCCATCTTATTTTTGTTTTTATGGCTTGAAAACTGTTAAGTAGACGTTGCACATTACTTTATTTATCAAAAACAATCTTGTTTATTACATGCATGTAATACGGTTCAAAACATGACAAAATCAATCCTATTTTCTTTAACATCAGTCCTTTCACAATCCAAAGTTGTCTTAGTTTATAAAAAAACCAAAAACAAATTGCTTTTTTGAAGCTTCGGTGGCTGAAATTTAACAAGTAATTATACATCAACATTAGCCTAGCACCTTGTTCAGCATGAACATTTTGTTAACACTAGCGAAATATGACTTTACTTAAGATTGTAGCTGAATGTTCACTACCAAATAAATATGTACTCTGACTTAGTATTTGCAAATGCCTGTTTTTAAAAGTATTGGATCCATTACTACCAGGGACAAAACTTTGTGATTAGGACATCCCTAATTTTTATTTACATTAAGGTTACTTAATTTTTTTACAAAGCAGCAGTGTCAGAAAATGTGATTGCTGTATATAGCAGCAGTTTTTTAAGTTTTTTTTTATTCACCATGTTGTTATAACTGACAATATGCAATTGTTTTGTGGTTCCAATTAAGACTATGTATAATAATAAGAAGCCAATTGTGCTAGAATAAAATGTTTCTGTGTGTGAATATGTGCCAACGTTTAAATGAAGAGAGGATATTTGGATATTTTCTGATTCCTATTACAGCTCCTCTGTTTGCCTGTGTTTGCTTTTTTTGTTTTGTTTTTATATATATAATAATGATGTTTCGGTGTCAGCCTAATTTGTAAATAGAACACTTTATCAGCATTTTTTCAGTGCAAAGTTGTTCCACTTTTAAAGGCAAAAAAACCCTTGTTTTTTCTATTTGGAAAAAACACAGAGCAACTAGGAATATGTGGGATAAGTATAGCTACAGTGTGCCGTTTTATTTAGTAGTTAGCTAATGAATAAAAGATATGCATTCATTTGAGCTGCAGTTGTCTTCCTTCAATCTTCAAAACCATGTTTTGTTTGATATGTCATAGTGCACAGGGAGGACAGATTTCTATTGTTAAACAACCCCCTCAGCGATTTTATGAACATTCCATAACTGAAAATTCTATTAAAATATTCAAGACACCCTCTTTTCCACAGTTAAACAAAAAGAAGTAATAAAGAAGGCAGCGATGCATGTTAATACAGAGACTGACTGTGAGCTTCAACAGTCAATGAGGTTATTTCAGAAACCTCACAAAGAAGATTGGAAAGCCATTTGCAAAACTGTTTTCATTTAATACACCATCCGTTAGCAAACAAGAAAGAAAATTCAATATAATGTAAAAGATCTGACCTTATTTTGCTGTGTGGTGTGCTTGTAGACAATTAAGAGTCCTAAGTTTATACTTGCCTAAAGAAATATCCAATTACAGTACATGATACACAAAATAAAATAAAAAATCAAGTGTTAAAGATGCAGTTTCAACGTGAAATTTAAAACATTTCCTGTACAGATATATGCAATTTATAGATAGATAGATAGATAGATAGATAGATAGATAGATAGATAGATAGATAGATAGATAGATAGATAGATAGATAGATAGATAGATAGATAGATAGATAGATAGATAGATAGATAGATAGATAGATAGATAGATAGATAGATAGATAGATAGATAGATAGATAGATAGATAGATAGATAGATAGATAGATAGATAGATAGATAGATAGATAGATAGATAGATAGATAGATAGATAGATAGATAGATAGATAGATAGATAGATAGATAGATAGATAGATAGATAGATAGATAGATAGATAGATAGATAGATAGATAGATAGATAGATAGATAGATAGATAGATAGATAGATAGATAGATAGATAGATAGATAGATAGATAGATAGATAGATAGATAGATAGATAGATAGAATTATCTTCCACAGGTTTGTTGTGTACCACAATGGTTGTAGTAAACAACAAACAACTTATTTGGCTTTTTTATGCATATACTTCTTTTTCAAGAACTGTTAAGTAAATAAATGACTTATATTGCCCTAGTTGCAAATTCGGTCCTTGAACTCATCTTTGCAGTTTCCATGGATTTACAATGGGTCAATCAGCTGCTTGACTGATTAATTCTCTGCTTGCCCAGCCTATAATTTTGGGTGACGATGTGTTAGCAAGAGTGTTTTTTTTCCCTAAATGAATAAAATGGAATTTATTTCAAACAATTTCAGAAAATTTTGACAAAACAACAATAAATAAATCAACCAAATACACACAAAAATGTGTGTGTATGTGTGTTGGTGTTAATACTTGTATTTTTTGTGAGACCTTACATACTCATTCATTTTTTTTCGTTCAGATTGATGGTATAATGTTGCTTTGATGCTTCAAGAGCCCAGCTTTGCCAGGGAGAGGGAAATTAGGGCAGATCTACATTATGTAAGCTTGAAGAGATGTGTCAGGCAGTGTGAAGATGGCATATGACTGTAAGCACTAACCAAAGGACAAACACTAGCTTCTATTGGCCGGGCAAAATGTTAGAAATGTAGATGATTCAAACCTCCTTGACATTTCTGCCTTTGTGAAGCGAGAAAAAAAATATCTGTAAAAATCTGTGCGTGGTTTGCAGTTGTTAGTCTCAGACTGTGTGTCTGTCCCTGAAGATTTCTCAGTCTTCTTTTTCCCTGAACAGCAATCCTGTGTTTCTCTCCCTTTCACTTTTCTCTGTGTAAGTGTGTGTTTAAATGTGTGTGTCTTAGCGCATAAATTATTGACTCAATGTGCATTCATGCTTGTCTCAAGGACTTCAGTAAACAACATGGAAATAACATCATTTTAACCATTCATCTTTCAAATATTTTTGATTTAAAAGCTTTCCAAAACTGATGGCCTTCAGTAATAATTGATGCGTTATATTTTAGACATAAACTTCCATTTATCTTTGTGCAGTTTTCTTGTTAAATCATGTATGACACTGTGACGTCCACTGGATAAGGATGATTTATGAAATAAATTACATATTTTTGGGCTGGGGCTTTAGGGATTCAGAACTACTAAATATCTTTAAGAGTATTTGCAGCCACTGAAAACAGTCTGTGTAGAGCCTGTTAATATTTATGAAGGCTGATCCAGGCTTATGGCTGCCAACCTAAAAAAGTGAAAAAATCCCCCATCATCCTCACATTTATAGCGCTCATACTGAACACGAAAAGGATATTTCACATCAAGAAGAAAAAAGAAAAGCTTTAGCAACTGGCAGAAAAATATGCCATATTGTGAAGAAGGTGAATTGGTGTTTATAAGAAGCTTTCATAGCTCAGAGTAACAAAGTCTTTATAATAATGTCTGAGATTTGTTGTTTATATCAAGAAAATTACCCCAGTAATCCTAAATTTTGGCAGAAAAAAAAATTATAATCGGCCATGATTGGGAACGTTTTGGAATAAAAAAGAATATTCTGTGTAAATACATGTATTTGTCAATATGAAACAGTTTATGAATCACTGTGTGTCTATTATCAGATTATATGTTTAAGCTATTAAACAATGGGTGAAATGCAAAAATAACAATAACAATACAAGAGCCCCTGTGATGGACTGGTGACCTGTCCAGGGTGTACCCCACCTCTTGCCCATAGAAAGTTGGAGATGAGCACCAGCACACCTCGCAACCCCACTTGGGATGAAACGTGTCAGAAAATATATGTATGGATAGATGGATGGATACAACAGCACAACAACAATTAAATAAATCACTCAAAACATACACCATATTGAAGGTTACAATGCATAATAGACGTCAGTCTATGAAACAACACTCAGGTGTTCTTGCTTAAAGGCGGGTATACATTGTATAATTTTTGCTGTTTTTGGATTATTTTTCATTTAGTGCAAGATTTTTTTTGGATCAGGCAGAATTTTAGCCTCATTGTGTGTCCTGCATTAAGTAGTATACAGGGGTTAATGAGGGGCGATTAGCCTTCTGATTGAGATTTGAACGGTCAGATGAAAGTCAAACATATCTTAAATTTTTTAAGTTTTCCCTTGAGATCAAGATTTTTGTTCTTACACTCCTCTAATCTGGAATAATCTCCCAGAAAACTACAGAAGTAGTTTAACCCCATGTTGTTTTAAATCAAGATTAAAAACCTATTTGTTGTGGGTGGTCTTTGACTTTACTATATCAATATTAGTCAACTTTCAGTTTTATTATGAATTACTTCTCTACCTGTCTAATCACCTTCATAACCCTAAACAAACGTTCCTTTTTTCTTGTGAAAGGTTTCTGCAAAGTAAACATATTTACCCAACAGCTCTGGTCCCATGAGACAGCTCTTTTTTTCTGCATGACAAAATAATAAAATATTTCTACTCCAATGAAATAAAGTAGTTTACACTTATTTCTTCAATCCAGTTTACTGATATTATCTCCTATTCTAAAGGATAACATGTTTATAACTGAGTGAGGTTTAATAAATGTCTCATTGATGATTTGATGGGATAAATAGTAAAGTTTTATGATGGCCACTCCAGAGCATTGACTTTGCTGTCATTTATACCCCCATTTGTGACCAAATGGCTTTGGGTCATTATCAACTTCAGAAGACCCACTTCAGGCTGATGTCTCCGGATATTGCTTTAATAATTCTATTAAATGTTGATGCCTCATAATTGCATCTCTTTTAGGAAGCGCATCGGTGTCTTCTGCAGCCCAGCACCCACATTTAATGATCCTGCCACCACTTTCCTTCATAGTAAGGATGGTGTTTTTTAGACCTGCAAGATTCCTACCATTTTCACATCTCTACAGTTGGCTGGTAATCTTTGTAGGTCACTGGCAACACAGCCATTTTTCGCTCATATTAAAAAAATATTGCACTTGTAGTTTAAACTTTTATTTAGAATCTATGTAGATCCTGCCTTAAGTGTGCTATTTACAAAGCTTCACTATGTGTTCTGGTCCTTTACATTTAAAATAAGCAATAGGTATAACTTTAGATATATTTATAATATAACTATATCATAATTTCACATTCCTGAACTGTTAAAACAAGTAAAGAACAGCAAAACTTTTTAGGCCATCACCTAACCTTATTTTGAAATGACTGGTAACTGCAAGTTAGTTGTCTCAAAAAAAGAAAATTGCCAGCAGATGATCAACTAAATTATTAATACAATTCTGAAAGTAAATATATGGATTCACTGTAATTTACAGTAAAAAATGATATCTCTCTACTACTAAACTCACAATTGCCAAATATCATATGGCAATGCCCTGTACATTTCAACTATGTTTTCTACAGTAAAATTCTGCCCATCAGAGCTGCTGGCATTTTACTTAAATGTTTTTACAGTTTAGAAACCAGGACCACCTTCCTCAGAGTTCATAAGGTCATAAGTACTTAAATTGCTTTCCCTAAAAAATCATGAATTACCTCCCCAGGTTTCTCACCCCATCCTTTTCAATAGACTATCTTCAATTGACATCACTCACGCCGCTGTACACTGGTTCTGTTTCTCTGGTTGTACTCCGTTAATCCAAGTAAAGTCTTTCTACTCAGATCAATCCCCCATCATAACTGCTGTGTATCAGGGCTAAGTCCTGGGACCCCCACTTTTTACTGTCTATCTTTTGTCACTTGATAACATTTTTTGGATTGCTACCATCTCCAGTACCCTTAGATCTTCCACTTCCATCCACCTTGCTGAGCTTCCTGCCCCCCTTGCCACCATGGGAAGGAGAGCTTTCTCCCACTCTGCTCCAAAACTCCAGAATTGACTCCCGCCTCGGGCCTCATCCTCAGCACCCTAATTTGAGGGACAGGCCTCTCCAGCCTAGAACTACCTGCTGATGCAGTTCTACTGAAATTCAACACTGACAAAGTACCACTCCAGGTTGAGATCTCTTTACTGTTGACACTTGGAATAATCTATATTTCTATCTGATGTTGGTATTAAACTAATTTCTGTTTGGCTGGCACA